CCCCTCCCTTCTCGCCGCGCCCCTTTCAACCCCACACCCCCGACCTCCCACATCGTCCAGGGGGGCGGGCTCGAATCGACCGCTGTTGTTTTAAGGCTAAGCGGTTGCCTAATACCGGTGGTCATTGCTTTTGGTGAATTTATTCTAAATCTCCCTCTCTCTCCCTCTGATGCCATCTTTAATGTGTATTTTCTGTTTCAGTGCGGTTACATGACAGTATACAGGAAGAACACTTTCACTACCTTGTATTTGATTTGTAAGTTGCATGTTTAGTTTTATTTATTATTCTCTCACATAAACTGTAAATATGCTCCTCCAATTAGACCCATCATCTAACACCCCTCAATTCAGATTTTGCATTCATCGATTTTGGTTGTTCAGTAATGCAATAAATGTATTTTCACAAATCAAGGCTGCTCCTATAAATAGGGATGTACTGATGGGGTCGTTACAAAGCCGAGATGGGGTCCAAAACTTCTTTAGAATTTTCTAAAAATGTATGTATTGCATTACTCTGGAAAAACAAAGGTGCTAAGTCATACCTTTAAAAGACCACAACGGTTTAGTGCCTTAACAAAAGCACTCATTTTTAGCACCTTTCGGGGCTCTTTACTGCCTTTATAAAGGCACTAAACTTAAAATTTCTTTAGTACCCCCTGGAAAGGCACGAACGCGAAACTTTGTTTTTTCAGTGTACTGAGCTATCTAAATCTCATTGGCAAATCCAGGCTGTGCCTGTAAGTGCAAAATATGAAATGACGCGTGATGAGTGAGGGACTGTCTGATTGGAGGAACACCACATTCAGAGATTAATCTTTTTGATTTTTTGTTCCTTTTTCAGAGTTACTGGAGGGGAGCTTTTTGAGGATATTGTTGCCAGAGAATTTTACAGTGAAGCTGATGCATCCCACTGCATCCAACAGATATTGGAAAGTGTGCACCACTGTCATTCTAATGGGGTTGTGCACAGAGATCTCAAGGTACTGTTCATAAAATTTAATTTGTTAGATGATAGACCTTAAATAATTTGTTAGATGATAGACCTTAAACTATTTGTATTTTTATTTTATACATTTTTTCTATTGACATTATCTATTTACACTGTTTGTAGCCTGAAAATTTACTCTTGGCTAGCAAAGCTAAGGGGGCTGCTGTAAAACTTGCAGATTTTGGTCTTGCCATTGAAGTTCCAGGCGACCAACAAGCTTGGTTTGGTATGTTGTTGACTTTTATTGAGGTTTACTGTAGCTTAAGAGACAGCATCTTATGAAATTTGGTGGATGCCTAGGTTTTGCTGGAACTCCAGGATATTTATCACCTGAAGTGTTAAAAAAGGAGCCCTACGGTAAACCTGTAGATATCTGGGCATGTGGTAAGTTTAGTTATTTAATGTTTTGCTGGATACACAAAGGTAAGGCCAAGCAAGATTAATAACTTTAATACCTTTGTTGGTGCATTAAAATGAGTTCTTTTATTGCCTTAGTAAAGGCATCAAAGTTTACCTTAATGAATAGTCTTCAAGTCTTGCCTTTGTGTTTCCAGTGTACTTCTCTTTTTTATTTTACTACATTCACAAGTGCAAATTTTAAATCTATTATTTGTTTTAGGTGTGATTCTGTATATTCTCTTAGTGGGATACCCACCTTTTTGGGATGAGGACCAACACCGCTTGTATGCTCAAATCAAAATAGGGGCATATGATGTAAGAATGTCACTGTCGAGAAGAGAATATAATTGGCAACTTTCATCTTTCATTATCTTAATTTTTACTTTTTTCAGTACCCTTCCCCAGAGTGGGACACTGTCACTGCAGAAGCAAAAAGCCTTATCAATGAAATGTTGACTGTGAACCCATCAAAACGAATAACTGCCTCAGAGGCACTTAAGCACCCATGGATTTGTGTATGTGATATTTTTAAAGACTGATATGCTTTATTGTTCTTTATACCAAATCTAAATATATGTTATCATTTGTTGATTTTTTTTTCTATTTTTTGTATTTTAGCAACGAGAGCGAGTGGCATCTATGGTTCACAGACAAGAGACTGTTGACTGTTTGAAGAAGTTCAATGCAAGGCGCAAGCTAAAGGTAAGCATTCTAGCAAGATATTGTGTAAAATGCTAGCAGTTAACATCAAAGACATCTACCTTGGTGAAAAAAGCAACCACTAAACCTTCTTTTATTTTTCAGGGCGCCATTTTAACTACTATGCTTGCCACTCGCAACTTTTCCAGTAAGTATGATGCACATGGTGAGTATCTCCGCCCCTGGACTGCAATTTATTTATTTTTTGTTGTTAAGTACTCCAAACTTTATATCAAAATGTTCTTTATGTCATAGCCAAAGACAAAAGAGATTTCTTAAGGTGCATTCTGTCATGTTCTATGTCATGTTCATTAAATTTAGCTTTTTGAAAATCAAAGTTTAGATCAGAAAAAGTGGGAATTTATGGCTGAAAACTGTCTTGCCCTTTCCTAATTGTTCTATGCTGTAAACAGGCATGCATATAGGTGGCTTATATTTGAAACCTACCTTAATTGCCATTTGCTTTCTTGGGTTGTTGGGTTCCTACTTTCCATTTGCTTTTGAATCAAAATTTGCAATTTAATCAAAAAAATGATACACTTATAAACATGTACTTATCTTTATCAGTGTCTTAAAATCAAAACCATGGACAGAATACATCCAATCAGTCTCTAATAAAGGTCAATGAGAGGAACAGAAATAAGCAGCACACCTCCAATTGTTTCATCTTTTCAGCTTCTCTCTAGTTTTTTGTGGGTATTCAAACATATTTTAATGTAGGAACCTAGAAAACAGGATGAGTCACTATTATCAATAAGTAAATTCACACTTTACAGACATACATGAAGTTTTCCAATACTTAAGCCAATGTACCAATATGTCTTTGTCTTATATCCACATCTCAACCAACTCCCAATTTTGCATGGGACCTGGTAGCGACCCCTTGCACTGTCATGCGATGCATTGCAATGCATTGTGTAGCGCGGCCTCTGGCCCCCTTCCTCCCCTGTCCTTGTTTTTTCCTTCACATTGTTACTTTCGTTTCCTACATTTGAATGTTTGTGCTCTTTATCCTCTTTATCTAAATTTTTCTGTGTGTTCCAAGATATTCATAATAAATGCAAAAACGATAGGAATTTTTGACATTTTCATATTTTTGACTTGTGTCCATTAATGCGCAGCTTTTATACAACAGTATATGTGGCCCCAGGCTAACATTTGAATTACTGCGTAGATGCATTTGACAGTTGTTATACATTTCATACTATTATTATTGTCAGGATGTTTGCTAAGTGACAAATCAGGCTGCTTTCTTCTTGGTTGTCCCTTTACGTTTTCTATGATAATTATTACAAAGGTAAATGCTATTGCTATTCTTTTGCTCTCTTTTTGAACATTTCCAACTCTACTTGTTCTTGGCAAATACTGTGTTTTCACATGAATAAGTTCTCAGGCTTGTCTTGTGTACATGTTTTCCTGGTAATTAGAAGACTAATGAACTTTTTGCATTCAACTCATCTCTATAGCATCAAAGAAGGTGCACTGAAAAATATTTTTTTGACATGTTTTCTTTTCTAAAATATTTTCTGAACTTAAATGTCTTTTTCAATCTAATGAAACTTTCTTGGTGGCTGCTTATCTGCTCTTTGGACTAAATGACCTCATAAATTTCTTTGAAACCTTTCGCTTGGAGCTCTACTTAAACAAAAGCTGATTCAGGGGCGGAGGTATTTCAATTCTTTTTCATGGTTAATATAGTTGTGTCAATTGCTTATCTCTCATCAAGTAATGTCACAGACTATGTTGGCCATGATTGCATTAAATCGGTTATGTTATTGCACTTCACATGAAATGAAATTGTACATCTAAATTTACTAACACACACACTGAGCTTTTTGTCAAAGATGGTTCACTATTAATAATGGCTTTTAATTTAGATGGTGCTTTACAAAAATTAAATGGAGAAATAAGTTACTAATTGAACACTCAGCAAGTTTTGTCCTAGGTCTTGAGAATTGTGTCTGTAAATATGTGATGCTTTTAATTCACATCATGTAGATACTACCCTTGCAATTTCAAGCTTTTTCTCATTATCTGATGAGCTGGAAGATTTGATGTTGAGCAAATCTGTTAACAGCAAAGCATCAGCAGACAAATGCAGCCTTACTTCCCTTACTTCGCCCTAGAAAATTATGGTATTTCCATTTAATATAAATATGTTCTGTGTAAATCAGTTTGTGGCAACACTGCCTCCAGATTTGTTATGCTCAATATTATTTTCTAATAATTATCGACATTACCAGTCGCATAAAATTTCAAAAGGGGTAATTTTTTTTCCACTATGTTTCCATACTCATTTAAACTGTCTTTGATCTGTATACTCAAAGTCAATGTCTTAAGACACTAACTACATACTACAAAATAATAATATATATGTTGAATGAAGGTCTCAAGGTAGATTAGATGGTGTAAATATTATTTTGTAGAAGTAGCCTTAATATTCCTCTTGTTCTTTTGTTTTTATCTCTTTGTTACCATGGTATCTGACACTGATGTAAACTCCTCCAATCTACCCTTCAGAATGTGGTAAGAATGAGTAACTTAACAAAGTGTTGGATCAAAGTGGTGTGTTACTTTACATTAACTTTTTCCTACGCAATATTTTATCTGCTCTTATGGAGTGATCTTTGCGCTTTAACAGCATAATTTGATGAAGCATGGAGTGCATTTTTATTATTGTCTCATTTAACACACCCAAATTTTGTTTATTTCAAATTTCTGCTGAACTTAACTTTTTCTTAGACCTTGCTGGTCACCAAAGCCTCTTTTTCCGAATTCCGTTTTCGCCTCAGCAGTTGTAGCTTTTTTTTGTGTTAGAAGCAGCTTTTCTTTCTTGTAAAGAATTTGTTGAATTTTTTCCTGGGGTATGATCCATAAAACTTTTCTTCTAAGAAAAAATTACCTTCGGCTTCAGTTGTATCTCTTCCTTTTGCGCCTCTTTCATTTAGAGAACATCTGTAGGGGCCATTTAGTATTTATTTTGTTTTCACTTAATTGTTGCCACATGAAGTGTAAACTTGGACAACTATTCTCCTTTTTCATTAAAAAAAAAATGCCTTAGCTTGATAAAAAGAACAAAAAAAAAACACATTAAAAAAAGCAAGCATTAGCATAATTGTTTGTTTGTTTGTTGTACTAAAAATCCTTGTCCCCTGCATTTGAATGTTGCTTTCATACTTGCAGCTTTTTTGTATTGCTTTATTAACTAATGGTCTATCTATGCATGTGTTAACAATCCATACCTCTGAAAGTAGACATGATCATTCTCTCAACATTTGCTATTCACACATCCATCTCCATCACTCATTTCTAACATTCATGACAACTTAAAAAAATTACTCTGCATCCCCGATATAGGGTAAAACAGACCTAATCTTCTTTTAAATTTTTATCTAACAATTCTTTCCTCAAGTTCAGTGAACAAAGTCATCCAATGAGATCCATTTACATGGGAAATTAAACAATATAAATATGTACTGAATTGTATTAAAAATGTTATCTGTGTGTGTGCTGTTTGCCTAATGGTGTTATGCTGTTCACTTATGACTGTTTTGTTTGTGTCTTTTTACGGAAAGAGTGTGAAGTTGTGTACAAGTCTACTGACAATTAGCAAAATTTAAGTTTACATCATCATGCCTGACCTGATCTTACGAAGAAGGATTTCAAATTTCATATACTTCAGGCTATCTGTACACAATCTCAGTAGTGTCACTAACTTCATTTTCTCCATCCTCTTGACTATTTTTCTTTGAAGCATTTATTGGGTTTGCTTGACTTCATGCCATATTTCTTCAAAATAACGGCTTATAAAATGAAATTAGTGAATAGATGGAACCTCTAAGGTCATAAGGGACTGGCCAGGAGTAGTTTCTAGAAAGCTATGAAAAAAGTTGTTCTATTTAGCACTTGTTTTTAAAAAAGAAAAGATCTTCAATTATGTGATGTTTTTTATTCAAGTTAGATCATTATTTGTTATTGGTTACTGCTATATGAATAAGCTTTAATTTGCTTTTATCTCTTTGATACTTTTTCTTTTAAGTGTAATTTCTTTTTTGAAAAGAGCCTCTGTATTCATGCAGTGAACTCTTTTACATCAACTCATGCTAAGGGTGAACCTTTCGCTATTAAATAATAATTTCATCTGATTTTTTATGGCAGTACTATAGTTACTTTTGTAATTTTCAGGCCGAAGTATCATTACTAAAAAGGGAGATGGTTCCCAAGTGAAGGAATCAACTGACAGCAGCACGACTTTGGAGGACGATGATATCAAAGGTGAGTAATCCTTTTGCTTCTGTTGTGTTTTTTTGTTTTTTGTTTTTTGTTTTTTTTTGTATTTTGTGCAAGGGACTATTTTTGTTGGTGACTTCTTGAACTTGTGGTCAGCTTGCCATTGTGTTCACATTTAAAGCCACAAAGTGCACATGAAAAGTAAGCCTTGTTGTCTATCAATGTCAACTTGACTTCTGGTTTCAAGTTATAATGTTGCTTGGGGGACAGTTATCTTGTTTCTTTGGTTCATGGAAAGCTTCCCCTTGTGTGCAAGGAATGCATCAAAGCAATAATATTGTGCTAATGTCAATATTGTCATCTCATTGAAATTGTGCCTCTTTCTTTTTCATTTTTGAGGAGCTTGATAATATTTGATATCCAAACAATGTTGTGAAAAGATTACATCCTTGCGCACTAGGTCTATGCATACTTTGGGAAGCAATGTGGTTTGGTTCCAATACAGCTGGACTGTTTTTGTGATCATTTGTAGGTTTTACTCAATTTTTGTAACCCTAAACAAGACCTAATCTGTCACAAACACACATTATTTTAAAAGATCTAAAGAAATACCAAACTAAAAACAAATTATCAAAAATAAGTTATCTAATTCACACGAATTCTGTGGCTTTAAATTATTTTGTAGGCAGTGATTGATTAATGAATGATTCTATTCAACAAACCATGAATTCATTATGATCGCTTACTGCATGCATATGCTGTACCAGATCTAGTAGAATATCACTGCTTACTATAATTACCTTTAAAAGCTGTACTCTCAAATAATCTATCCATACAAAAAGTTTTAAAAACACATAGCTAAAGCGAACCAGCTGTACCTTATACGTAAACAGGGACCTCAGTCAGTGGTAGCTTTGATGCTATTGATGTAGCAAGCCTAAGCAGTTGACTAAGTATGTCATAACGCATGGGCAGGTGTATTTGTTGTGGTAATGGGTCCAATATTCTTTTCATTGATGCAATGTAGATTTCACAAATCATCTCATATTGTAGAGCAGAGTGAAGTGAGGTCGCAATTTTAAGGCACTTGAGAATTGAGGCTCTACGCTACTACAGAAGCCTCTACTGGAAGCTTCACATTTCACTATCCTTCACATCAGCACAACTTTAGTGCTTTAAAGTTGTTATTTATTTCTCCTTCTAAGTACTTTAACATAATTTGTATTGGCTTCACCCAAATTTGATGGTAATCATCCATGTTATAGCAACAGAGCTTTAAAACATTCATTCACAGTACTCAAATACCATAGTTGAGGCATTTTAATCTTGTAGTCCTCTATTAATAACCATGCTGCCATGCTATAGAGTATGGTACAGCTGTCAATCGCATCAAGAATCTATCTTTATTTTGTTCAGGTAGTAAAATCAAGCTTAAATTGAGTGGCTTGTGGCCGCATGATATTCACTTGCAAGCATGTAAAAGTAATTTGCTCACTGAGGTAAAGCACTTGGTTTATGAGAAAAAGAACTTTTACTCTAAAATCTTTTTGGTCATCTTAAAAAGAGGGGTTTGTTGCCGTTTGGGGACACTTTTGACAGGTCATGTAACACTTAAACTGCCGGAGCTGTCCACTATTAATATCTACAGTTCTGAAGTCAAGTTAAATATTTTTATTTTATGAAGAAATTTCTGTATGAAAGTTTCTGTAAAGACAAACAAGTCCTAAACCAGGCTGAACAGTTCTGTCTGTTTTGCGTTGCCAAGTGAATGGCAAGAAATCTTAGCTCAAAACCAGGGCCATGCTAACGATGAATTCTGTACTTCTATGCGTATCAAGTCCAAAATGGGTATTGCTGCACAGTTGTTGTCAACTGTGTAAAGCTTTTTGAAGACTTTTTGTTCTCCTAATTGTCTTACATTGTGTAGGATATTGTATTCTATTCTGATTCCTTCAATATTTTTTAGATGTTTGGTGTGATGTATTGTTGGTTAATATAAGCAGGAATGCGTGTGCAACCAATTGTTTTCACATCTATCTATTAATTTGCTTCCTCTTTTGTGTGATCAGAAATGTGTGTAAGCTTTTGATTTTTTATCCTGGTTGTTCCATCACAAACTTAAAATTTAATTTTTCTGGAGTTTCTTGAGAATACAACATGAAATTCTAAGCCCCTCTCACTGGTAATAATTATTTGTACCTGGTGGTGTAGCAATACTAAATTAATCAGTAAGTTGCTCATTCATGATGTTTTATAAACTTCTCCTTTGTTCTTGTAATTGCTTATACTGTGGCATATTATCAAGAACTTCAGCCTTTCTTTATTTTTAATGACATTCAGGTCATAAAATCAAGAAATGTAGGAAAGGGGCACATTGCACCAGTCTTGCATGTAACTTGGAGAGGGCAGCTTATGGAAAAACTTCTGACACACAAACGCCAATCTTTCGTTTGCTTGAGTGATCATCTAGTTTTCTTGACTTTGGCACAACCAAACACCAAAATTTGTTTCTTGTAATGAAACATTGCTTTCCAAAACTGGATTCTGTAGTTCTCACTTGGTTTGTTCTTCTAGCCATGGTAGCAATATCAACATGCCTGAAAGGGGTCCTTTTTATATACAGAGACCCTTTTATCCACATATATCTATTAAGTGCTTCAAAGCCAGATTTGTTATTGGTTATCCATCAAAAGTCCAGTTAGGAAACGCCATCCTGAAGTTTGCCGCTGACTAAGAAATGAAGATCATCCTTACTGAAGTGGAACTTGAAATGACAGCTGTCTTTTTTCATTAAATAGGATATAGGAGCCTTTCTGGTTTCATGTCAAGACATGTGGCTCTGGTGGTGTTTCTTAGATCTCATGTACCTTCTCTCTTCTCATGTTTTTGTTTACAGTTTTTTCTTTTTTTTTTACTTTCCAGTTCTGCCACAACATTTATCATTGCTTCATTACTTCATTGTAGTCTGAAGTCATTTATAACTACTCTCATTGCCTTAGACTGTCATCTGCTTTTTGCAACATCTTAATTCATCCTTAAATGCTGCTGATTGCACGCTGCACTCATTCTTCATTTTTACTTCATCCAACCACATATACATAGTCTGTAGCAAGGTGTCATATCTTAACAAAATGTGAAATACCATAAACCATTGGCATGGCTTAGGTAAGAAAATTTTTCAGAATTTAAGGGTTACACAAGCTTGATGTGTATTTTTACTTGTCTGTATTTTAAATAATTGACAATAATTCTGGTTATATTCTGGAATGCGTTGAGTTACGACACCATGATCCGTAGATAGTTTTTTTCAAATCATAACTTATTCTTTTTGATTGAGTTCCTTAAATTGGCTTTCAATAACATTGTTCATTGGCAGAATTCCTCTCTTTCTGCATGAGTTTTTTAAAAACACTGATTACAAGCCCAGTTAGGTGCATCTTTACTGGGGCTTTGCATCCAGACGACAGTAATATATCATATAAGATTTCAAATTATTAAAGTGGTCACCTCTTTTATGCATAGCGCACATGTACCTAAAATTTTAATATGTTCTATTTCCTGTAAACTCTACCCTTCTGCTCATGCCAGGTTTGTACCCTTTGTTGCAAAATCTAATTTGCATACATCTCTAGTATAATTTTGTCATATCTTTATTGTATTATTTATTACTTCACAAATTTAAACCATTTTTAATGGTAGACCTTACTTATTTTTATTTGCCTTTTTACCTAAGAATGCACTGTAAAGGTGATCGTGTTCACTATTATTAGACATCAAAAGACTGTTTCTATTTCAGATCATTATTCAGGTTAAAAGTTCTGTAGAAACCCTTTAATAACTCTCCATACTTCCATATTTACTTCAGTTCTAAGTATATGTTATCAAACTTTTTTCAAACAATTTGCATCAAGTTTTAGAGAACAACTTTCATTTAATTCTTTGTTTTGTTTTAGTCACTCTGTATCTGTTTCACATTGACTTCAATCATTCATCATACTTTCTATTTTCTAGTCATAACTTTCAAGTATTGTAGTCACATTTTCATTCAGTGAACCATTTAGTTCCCTTCATATGTTTCACCAACCAAGAGCCGTTGTCTTGCATATATCTTAAAAATTGGTTTTTATTATAGCCTTTTGTAAAACCCAATTGGGCTCTTAAGTTTTACACTCTCAAATTAGTGAATTCTATCCAATGGGCTGTGGCTTCAAGTCAACATTTTCAGATACTGTGCAATTAGGTGATTTTGATTGATTGATTAGTTCATAAGGAATGTGAAGGCATTCTGTGATTACTAAATTAATTGCCAGTGAGTTCATTACATCATTGTTTGGTTTATTTCTGAATTAACCCTTTTTAAAGGTGTAAAGTTTATAAGTTACAGAGAAATTTACTATTGAAGGTATAAGGGTTATGCTACACTACAGCAGTAATATGGGTTATTTGCGATGGAGTAGTAGTATTATTGCATGTCTTTTGTTTGAATGTGAACACTTATCTATCAAAATTTTATGTAGTATTCGTTTGAATGTTTTAAACTCTAAAGTAAGATTTTTTTATCTTCTTTTTTCAAAGAAAAGTTTTCTTGTATTATATGCACAAAATCTATGGACAAACATTGGTATTTAGCATTTGTTGTACAATATTTGATATTTGACTACAGTATGATTGCTTTGCTTGCCTGCATCTCTAGACATTAGCTGAGTCACCCTAAACTTAATTTTGTGTACTACAAGTTTGATACCAGCTAGAAAAACTTATTGAATTGGCAAATGGCACACTTTTATATTACAATTTACTACCCAACGGTGAAAAAAAAGTTCGTTGGGTTATTGGTACAGTTGGTTACACTTTCATGATATATTCAGACCTCTGCACTTTCCTCTATTTGATTTGTTGTATCTTTTCAGTTCTGAATTTACAAACAACATGTCAATTATGCCAACATCTGCAGTAAAATTATGCCTATACCTTATACCTATTTATTGGTATCCAATTTTTTTTTATCTACTTAATTTGCCAGCAGGGTGCAGAGGTCCTTTTGTATGAACTAATTTCTACAAATGTGTGTTATTTTGTGATTTGTTTCTTCGGTACTGCTCCCACTACCACTACCACTACTACTACCACTACCACTCTTCAAAAACAGAGGATAAAGTTAAGGGAGGCGTAGACCGGAGTTCGACCGTAATTGCTAAAGATCCAGAAGGTAAATTATCTCACAGTTATGATATGTATCCTTGGTTGATTATTTGCTTTTCACCATTCCTGCCCAAACTCCATTTCTTTTAAAAATACTTTTGTCTCTTTACTGCTATTTTTTTGTTTATCCCCCCTCCCCCCCTTACAATAATTTTGAAGTACCTCACATGTCCTTAGTTGCAGCCAGATAAGAGGGTTGCTTGGGCTACTAAGGCCTTGTAAACAGGGTGAGGGTGGTGGTGGAAACCCCTTCAGCAGCCCAAGCAGTCCAAGCGACCCACCTGTCTAGATGCAGCTCTTATCTTGTAGTCTACCTGATGACTGAAGAAATGCATAAGGGATTTTTCCCATCAGTTATTACAGAAAACAAAACTTCTATCATGCTACCACACTAGTAATAGTTGTTCCAAAACTGTATTTTATTCCATTCTTTGCCCTTTTCACAAATTGTCATTTGTTTAAACTACAAATGGTTTATCTTTTGTGCCCCTATGTCATTACTTCAGTTCATATGTCATTCGATTTATCAAAAGATCACTTCTCAAATTCTTATAGCTTACTTGGAAACCAAAAACACACACAAGATACAAAACATTGATTAAGCTACATCCTCACAAAATAACCAGGTCTATAATTATGGTGTACTAAATCAAAATCAAAATTTGTATCTTAATTGTTTGCAAGGAAGCTGATAAGGGACTCAGTAGTGCTATGGCATCTAAAATTCATCTGAATCCTGCTTTTTAAAAGTGATTCAATTCCAATTTCCAGTCTACAAGTCACATTCCCAGGCTACTGCAGGAAATTTTTTTTTTTTAACAATCCCAAAAATAAATTATGATGAGTTCACCTGAGTACAATGAGTGGTTTTGAATGTTATTCCATTCTGAAACAAGTACAGACTATTTTTTCATAAAGTTTAGGGTTTCGGTTTTTGGTTTTAAATTTATCTACAAAATTTATCTACCGACCTCAATAATTTGGTGTTGAATAATTTGTTGCTTGTTTGTGGGTGCCAGTGCTTCCACGTCAGCCACAATCCACTATCCAGTGAACAGTCTGCGCCCTTCATGAACTCCACCAAATCGGTGGTCCATACATTATTACTTGCGTAAGAAAACCTTGCAATTTTATAACATTTGAAAATTTCAACCAAAGTTATAAAAATTTCTACATAGAGGGTAAAATTTATTTTAGTTGGAGGATAGAGCATTTGTTAAGGTAATATAAAAGGTGTTCAGGAGTTGTTTTCATTTCTAAATACTAGATGACTTAGAAATGAACCAGTCTCTAAACATCAATGTAGAGTGGTGGCGGTGTAAGGAGCAGACGAGTGATGCATAAGAATGTGTCACACACCACTGCCCAAAAAAAACTGTACTTGTGCAGTAACTTGACAGACTGTAAATCTGCTACGACCACGCAGGTTCAACCCCTGGCGGAAGCACACCACCTCAGTCTCCAGCAAGTAACAAAGTGGGTGGCCTAAGTGCTCCCAGTGCTCCCAGTGCCCCCAGTGCACCCAGTGGGGCTCCCAAGAGTTCAGGGCTGACATTGGGGCCGTTGCTGATACAGAGCGTTCAAGGTGTGGCGTCGGCGCTGTACGTTGTGTGTGTGGCGTGTGTGGCGCAAGTGCGGACGTGGCTTGAAACATTGCGTGGAATATTTGTGTGGCATGGTGTGGCCTGTCATGATGTAACTACAATTGGCTCATGCCAGTGATATTAATCTACTAATTTGAGCCAAGTGCTATAAGTGAGATAAATGTTAGAGTTACTGTATACATGAATATTTGTATACCTTGTAGTAACTGAAAGATTAGGAGCTGTAGCAAAACATTCACTCTTAATTTATTGATATTATCCCCCAATTACCGACATGCAGATTGCTTTACGAAGGTAACATGACAAACAAAGAAATGTACACTATGTAGTGTTCCATGAAGACGTTCCTTTATTTAATTTCTCCATACTTTCCCTTAACATTCCACTTTGCTAATTGTCAAAATGCTTTCCTCTCCTCTCAACCCTTCTAATATATTGCATCACTTGGTAGCTAAAGTTAGTATAATGATACTTGTGATTTCTGGAAAGGGCATCATCTATTAATCACAATCTTGGTCACCGGATACACTGTTATATTTGGCAATGTGGAAATGTAATTAAATGCTATCTAAAAATATACCAGCTTACAATTGTAGTCATCAGAAAGTTACTGATGACGTTTAACTCCACTTTTAAGTATCTTGACTGCATTACTTATGGGATTTCCCATCCACACTTCTCAATTTCATCTGCATATGTTTAAATATCATTTTTATTGTCTCTGGAACAATATTGTGGGCTTCAAATTCTAATAAAAAGACTAAACAGCCTGCAACACATTGTTGGTTTTTAAAGAAAATCCCCAAAAGCTGATGTCAATTGGCTGATCTTGTTTTTTTCATCAGTGGTATTGTGGCTAGTCTTGAAAAAGAATTTACTGAACCAGTGAAGATTATTCTCACAGTAGGTAAGAGATCTCAGATTCCAGTCTTGATCTCCTCCTTAAACAACTTAGTTAATATAATCCCACAGAACCATCATTTTCAATAATTATCAATACAACATTCTCCATGTGACAATGTCAAAAAACTGAAGTACTGGTATACAGGTTCACTTTTCTCCAAAGATGTATCTTCAAAATTATGGGTATGTATGTCTGCTTAGCTTGGCCCATTTACTCTTTCCATAGCCTCACTTAATCATTGTCACGTGTTTGTTCTCTGCCAAATTATGCTTCTATGTCTTAACTTACCGTAAACTAAAACATGTTGCATACAAAATCTGTGAAGATACATATTGCTGTTTATCTTCTGCAACAAATTTCTTTGGTCAATGAAATAAAGCAATTTTTAGCCCCAAGTTTTAAGAAAATTGGCAGTGTTCTTCAATCTTCATATGGTTCATAACCATTTGTGTTAATTTGAAGTCATCAATTAATAGAAATTTGTTATTTCTTATACTATTTTTTATCAGCTAAACGCCAAGCCACTGGGTGATTTTTCATTTTGGTAGCGATTGATGGTCACTTTTTTTGCTCTACTTTAGTCAGACACCAAAACACTACTCTGTCTTCACACACGCATTACATTCCTCTGCACCCTATTTTTATCATACTTTCTCTTAATATTCTACCATTTTCTAAAGAATTTGTGTGGTTCATTGGTTTCTTTCTTCTGTCTGACTCTCTTTGCATGTTCAGGATACCTTCCCAAACAACAAACCGTTCTCTTCAAGTCTGAGACTCCCCTGAAATTGAACGACCCTACATGTTTTAGTTGCAATGGAAGTGATTCATCTGGTAAGACCAATAATGTGCCAAGTCAGTCTCTATTTTCTTTTTTAAATCTCTCAATGGCCCCTATCCGAGGGGTACATCACTCCGATTCTGGGCGTACACCTACTTTTAGTCGATTTTTTTGGGCCGTGACTTTTTGACTTTTTTTGACTTTTTTTGACTTTTTTTGTACTTTTATTTGACTTTTTTTTTGACTTTTTGATCAAATTTATTTGACTTTTATGATTTTTTCCCTGCTATTTTTTTTAAATAAGGGAGAGTTGTAATTTTTGGGCTAGTAATAAGGTTTTTCCAAGACTTTTTGGTACTATTTATAGCATGAATCGAATAAGAAGAAAATTCGTTAATCAGAGTACACCCCCTAAGTAAAAAGAACAAGGTATTTTCAGTATTTACGTTTTTTGGTGAAGAAATCCCATGAAATCCGATAATTTTATTTTTCTCTCTTCACCCACCACCCACCCCCCTCCCTCTTTAAAAGACAGTGATCTAGGACTTTCCGATACAATCACAGTTCCGTAGCTTTTTGGCCCCTTACAGGCAGATATTGCACTCGCATGTTGACTTTCTGTTGACTTTTTCAGTGCCTTTTCTCTGACTTCTCGTCGACTTCTCGTCGACTTTCATTGCCTTTTTTTTGACTTTATTTGACTTTTTTGACTTTTTATTTGACTTTTTGACTTTTTTTGACTTTTCAAATGACTTTTTGACTTTATCTTGACTTTTTTCTTGACTTTTTTAAGCGCGTACACCTACTTTTAAGAGTGGTGTACCCCTCGCCCCTATCTCAATAATATCTTAGCTCTGCTAGAAAGAAATTTAGGACTTTATATGAAACTATTTAATGCTGTAGCACATGTGTTAACCACATGCCATGTGTTATTCTGAAACATTAACATGGTTGTTGTCCCAATAAGTTACAATTTTGTCTAAAATAAGCACGAATCCTCCATACTTTAATTGATTCCACACAACTTTGAGGTGTTACAAGTGCGACATGTAGTTCTGCTTTCTCATTATTTGTTAAACTTATTTTTTAAAAGTTTTGTATTAAGCTTCTTTTATTTTTTATTTACTCACTGTTTTCTGTTTTTGATTTCTCTTTTTGTTTTAATGCTTGTGATTGTTATTTTTGTTTGTTTGTTTGGTGCTGTGTGCATGTGCTTGGCGTTTCACTTGGCATACACATGGTGCGTGCGCACTTGCTTATCTCAGAAGATCTGGAGAACTCACATTACATCCCCCTCACTGGAGAATCGGATGAAGCTGATGGTAAGTCTATAAACTCCTGGATAGATTTTACTCACACCCGTCCGCTTCAACTAATCACTGGAGAGCATAAACTCTAGCTTACCATGAATGCAATTCCTCAAATGTCAAAACCCCTCCTTTGTTACGAATCAGTTTATTTTTTTGGTTACTTTTGGGAGGGCTTGTGAATCTGAAATTGATTGTAATGGTTGCCAAGGTAAAACAGAAATCATACATTTATTGAATAAATATTTTAGGTGTACATAGTTAACATGAGTGCCATATCTTACTTATTTTAACAAAGAAATTACTGAAAACCCATATCAGCAACCTTACTCATAAAGATTTTGAATTACAAACTTACTTGAACTTTCTGAATTTGTCTAACTGCTTGAAAAACTTCACACCATTTATTCACCTGGTTAGAAAACATTTGTGATTGGACATTTGCGTGCTGGCCATACCCTTCGCTGCTTGAGTTCAACCAAGCAGCACAAATTAGTTATACCCAAAGATGCACTCTGTATGAGTTAATAGCTGGAGAATAAACATGTAAAATCATTATCAGGTCTTGTAATCTTAACTGAAGCTTGGATACTTAAACCAAAACTGCTGGACATGCAAGTGTTCATACATTCTGCTTCTGACTTTACATAAAATCTTCTTCCTTCTTTGCTTTAATTTTCCTCTTTTTCTCTTATACATACTGCACCATCTATGTTAAGCTTTTTGTCTAATCAACTAATATGATGCTTATTTGGTCCATCTAACATTTGGTTTGGATTTGTCTGATCTGGTTGATGCATAGAAATAAGGATTGTGTGCCCAAACAAGACATGTTCGCAGCTCTCAACAAGTTCCTATGGCTCAGGTAAGAACGGGAGGATTCGTTGTAATACAATGCTTCTTTTCCTTGACTTTAAATGCCTGCTTCCTTTTTTTCAAATTCCAATTCAAATTAGAACAATATTTTGCTCTTGTTTTGCCCTATTTCAGAAAAAAGAAAGAATAATTTTCTTTTTGTACAAATTGTTCTTATTATTTTATCTATCTCTATCATTGCTGTATAATTGTGCTACATTTAATTGAATGAGCTTCAACATGAATTTGCATGTTTTGATTGTAAGGTTATTTTCCTTTGCCCGCTTGTTCATTTAAATGTTGTGGCAGTTCTACTGTTCAACAGGATTCATATTTGATCCGGAGTAATACCCAAATTTATCTTTATTGTTTTGTGTTTTTCTTATGCAGTACTTCATACCTACCGACATGATTGTAACGCCTCAAAAGTCTTTGGCAGTATTGTAACACTTTTCAATGTTATAGACGTGTTTAATATGTTTGGGTTCTAATTTCAACCACAATTTTAATGTTTTAAAGTTGCCTCCGTGGTCAGTTATAAAAGTCGTTACAATTTTGTGAAGATCAATTGAGATGCTGCAATTGTGTTTTATTAAAATACATGAGCTCTGTATAATATTTTTGTCAAATACAAATGTAATAAAACTCCTCATTCTTTACGCTGAGTGATCATGTATCCTTCCTGAGATGAAGATTAATCAAGTTGGATACAAGAAGTTCTTATCTATATAAAGTATTGTTCCACAGAAGAAACAGAATGCTGGGTGTTGTTGGAAGAAGTACATGTAGTAATATAACAAGCAATTTGTAACAAATGCAGCTTTTGTTAAAACTGTGAAGAGAAAATTCACACTTCAATAGTCATCAATGGATACTGAGACACTGTTCTGTTATTTCTTTTCTTTTCTTTTCGATAATGTTTGGTTAAACGTTCTGTGTGATTAGATGTTCCTATGCCCTTATATATGTTTCCTCGGGTATTATTTCTACTTTAACCATATTTTTATCATAATACCTAATTCATACATCTTTCTTATCTTCAGTAAAATCCTAATATCTGTTCATTCATCTAGGTTCTTGATCCTTTCCCCTTTTAATTTTCAGTGTACTATTGACTGAATCTCTTGGTTTCCTAATAATCCTATCTGGTTTTTCAACATTTTCTGTGTTTGTTCCAGCTCGAAAGCAAGAGATTATAAAGATGACAGAGCAGTTGATTGAGGCAATTAATACTGGAGAGTATGAAGCATATACGTAAGTAAATGTTCATTAGAAAGTTGTCAGCTTATTAAATGGATATTCTCCTTAAAAATATTTATTCAATATGATAATTTTTTTGTCCATAAATGGATTTTAGGAAAATTTGTGATCCTCACCTTACTGCATTTGAGCCTGAAGCGCTCGGTAATTTAGTTGAAGGGATGGATTTCCACAAATTTTACTTCGACAATGGTAACTATTAATTTGTTTTCTACTTTAAAAAAAAATTCTGAGCTCCTTCATTAATGATTATTTTTATTACTCTTTGAGTATTAGGTAAAAACTGCAAGGCACTGAATACAACCATCTTGAATCCTCATGTGCATCTAATGGGGGATGAGGCTGCTTGTATTGCTTATGTTCGTCTCACTCAGTACATGGACAAGTAAGTTGCACTGCTCATCCTCTCCACTTTGAAATATTAAATTAACGCTTAGTCCTTAATCATTATTTTGTTTTAACAGGCAGGGGCAAGCACACACTCATCAATCTGAGGAAACACGTGTGTGGCACAAGCGTGATAACAAGTGGCAAAACGTTCATTTTCATCGATCAAGTGTGACCCCACCTTTTGCCATGAAATAGATTTTTATTATCTAAATGGTGGCAACATTTGTCACTAGAAAATCTTTAATCAACACTTGGAACTTTGCTGAAATCCAGCCTAAGTGTGTCATGCCAAGAAAAGCACTATGTTCTGTTCTACTTCTTGTTGACATACAAAGGATCTCTTGGGTTGAACAATGATTTAATTAATTTACCTGCTTGTTCACCAGCCTAGTCACTTGACCCACTTGCCATGGACTTTTCAGTATTCTTGTAATGTAGGGTGTGACGGGTAAAAGTTAAACTGCCCATAATTTGGGAAGTGTCTTGTGTTTTTCATCCTTGTTTTTTCATGCTGTTATACATGCAATATAACATGTGAGTTCTTTTACTTAATGAAATGATTGTCAGATTGTGCTGAGCACATTTTGTGTGGGGATGCTTCTCCCAGTTGCATCTTATGAACACCCATTAGTTGAGCATTTGTATTATAAAGAGTGTTATATTCAAGTTTTTTCGCCATTGTTTTTCATTGTGCTTTTATTGAGATTTTTGTGATATGACATTGTTTTAAACTATTTCAACGAATCATTTTATATACTGTAGTTTCATGTTACTTTTAATTGTGTGAAGGTGTACTTAATGGGCGTTTGTTAAAGAAGCCTTTGCCCCAGCACCTGTTATGGAACCTGTTTTGCTTCTGTTCACAAGGCTATTTGAAGTACAATTTGATTGTTTCTATTATTATTTTTTTTATACCCTTGTTAGAATATAGCTAGGGACTGCAGCACGATTTAGTACCACCAATTTGTCTTACCTTAATCTAAAACAGTTTCTATTGAAAAAAAATCCAGATATCCCCATTTAGGCAAATAATTTTCTAATTATCAGAAGCATGCATAACTTTCAAGATTGAGAAAGTATAATTTCATTCTGTAATGGATACCATACATCCCTTGAAATAAGCAGAAAAATGCACTTGTCAAAGAAAGACCCCTTAGGCTTGTGTTAAGTCCTTAACCACCTACCTAATATTTCTTAAAGCAAAGTCTCTAAGAGTCTTCTGTATTACTTTGTTTTCTGAAGTAAGTAATAATACCCATTGGCTTGGGCGATTGTACTTTACCTCTGTACTAATTTTCATGGAATGAAACTAAAATTGCCGCAAATCAAAGACTGAGATTGGATGCAATGGGAGACATTTTGGAGAGAAGAAATGGAGTTGCAGTCCCTGATAATAGTTAGGATGATGAAATAAGCTGGTTACTGGAGCTCAGACTGTATGGCAGTCCTAATTTGGTAGTTTTACTGTTATGTCAGGAACCCAAAACTCTACTTTCCCAATTGTTAAATATTTAAAGTGTGTGATAAAGCTAAAAAAGGAAAAAAAAAACTGTCAAAAAAAAAAAAAAATGATCATGTATGTTCACCATTTTTTCTCAACTCTCACCCTTACAGGGTATGCTACTTTTCCTGACACTTTCTTGAGGTTTCTTGTTTTTTCTCAGTTAATGCATGGACCTGAACATTTATCAGGCTGCTTTCTATTGTATTTGTAGTTGGTTTCCCTGTTTTAAAATTTAAACATTAATCCTACTGTTTCATGATAAAACTTCTTTTGCCTTTCATTCACCTTAGACGTTTAACAGATTTTGAATTAACCACCAACATACTTTTGAATGATAACCTTTTATTTATTTTGTTTACATATCTACATTACTTTGTTTCCTCCATGATGTAATATCACTGATGAGAGAATTGTAGTGTTTGCCTATGTGATATGTGTGTACATGACAAAACAGCATACAAGTTTGTGCAGTTCAGGAGCTCTAATTTACAGATACAATGTTGCATAGATTATTTGTTTCTATTGTTTAGTTCTCTTAGTTTGCTCATATTCACGAGGAAGTGATGTCACAAAGCTACACCTAAAAACTGAGCATTGCATAAACTTCTGATTTTTAATCAACCTTTTGACTGTGTTTAAGGATCAATGTGAATAATCATGGGACTTAGTGCTGGTTGTCTTCCCAAGCAACAGCCATTAGTTACTCCAAAATACATGCTGAAGTTTCCTATTTGGGCAGTAAAACTGTTCAATCAGTTTACAATTAGCAATGTCGATTTGACTGATAACCCAACGACTCAAGATAAGTGTATTGTAACGACTGCAAGTAATGAACTGCAACTCTTCTGTGTTGCATTCTGTTCCCACTAGTCGTTAATGTGTCTAATATTTTCCACAATGATTCTACAATATGTAGTAGAGTTTGAAAATCGTCTGTAGGTGTCTTTTTCTTATTCGCTAGTACTTACCTCTTTTTATTCCAGTATCCTGAGCGTTGAATGCGTTTTGGTCTGGTTTTTTGTGGCTCTTGGAGAGTGTCATGCAATGCTGTGTACAACTATTTATAATATATCCATGTTCCCAAATTTATGTGGTTGTTATTCAAATTGTAACTGTTAAAACAGTCAACAAGTTTCTTATTATCTAAGCATGTAAGGTATTGTGCTGTTAAAGACTTCAAGTTTTACTTACAAGTTTTAATATTGTATTATATTGTAAATCAAAACAAAACTACAAATCATAAAAAGGTATTGTCCTTAATAATATTTTAGAAGGTTCAGAAACAATTTGCTGAGCTATTTAAATTCTAGCAATTTGCTAAAAAAAAAACTAACTAAAAATTAAATCCCTTAAAATTTTTCAATGGTTATCTCTCTTGTTTTGAAATTTCCATGTAAGCATAATTACAGGAGCTGTTCCATTTTATAAATTCTTGTGCTTTGTGTGCTTTGTAAACAATTCTGCTTCATTTTAGTTTGAAATAATGCATCAGTATCAAGTAAAGTATTGAACTTCAGATTGTACTTAACTTAATTTTTCCCTGGTTTCTGAAATTTGGATGTATTTGCACATAATTTTAGGTAATAAGCTATGTGACATAGCTGTTAACATTTCCTTTTTTATGTGGTGTTGTACTGCAAACCTTTTGAGGGATGTTAATGGTGTTGTGAGGTTTAGGAAAATGATGGAATGCCTCTGGCCAAAGGGTTGATGCTGTGGTTAGCTTTATGACAGAAAATTATCTTCCCTCACATAGTTCCAATTTTACTTACCACAGCATTGGAATGTATGAGCCTCAACAAATTCCAAAGAGCACAAGTATGAGTATGCTTTCTCTCTGAACAATTAAACATTCCTTGCGAGATAATGTTGATTTTTCAGTGGACATGACCTCCTATTCTAAAATTTGTTATTGAGCCAATTTACTCTTCCAACGAAAACCAGTATCAAAGTGTCAAATTGAATTTTATTTTAACTGAGCCAGTTTCACTTAGGGAAGATTACTGCCCTACTCTACGCTCTAGCTACACAATTCAGAGAGATTTATTTCGTCTCATGTCTAAGTTAATTTGTAGAGTATTTATTACAAAATTTAATTGTTAATCTTCTCACTTATCCAATCAAAGTCAGGTATGATCACAAAATTGTATCAGATATTTGAATCAATAAACGAACTGTGTAACAAAACATAAAAATTGTGATTATTACAGTGAATTTAATTCTGAATCAACATTACTATCATCTCTAAAATATTCAGTTCTCATTTCCTTGAACTGTGATCTCAAGGTTAGCAGCATTTTAAAATCTGATTGTTTTGTGTAAGTGTATATGTTAATTTTGGATCAGTTCTAATTTTTGAACATTTTATTCTTAGATCTATCTCGCAAGTGACAGCTGAGAGCTCATGTCATGCTGAGGCCTTTTCCATCAGATATAATTTTAGTGGAAAACAACTTTCTGATAGTTTCATTCTCCCTCTCAGAAAGTATACATTGCGACGTAAAACATAATTAAATTCTCTGATCTCACAACTTCCCTTTCTTTGCTGTAATCCTAAACTATAATAGACATATGTGCAAGATGAATACTAATTGTAATGCAACAATGTGTTTGTAGATTGTATATGTTGGACTCAGACTTGACGTGAGCCAATTGAACTTCAACTCCTACTTTTTAAGTTTGCGTTTGAAATTCAGCTCTTTTTCAAATCGATAGGAAGATGCTTGAGCTGTCTGGCTGTCCTTGCTGTCAAAAGTGTTGTTAAAACTCTCTAAATAGAACTTCTTGCCAAAGGTAATACATTTCTATCAATTTTTCTGACGCTTATATTAAACAGAAGCATTTATATATTAAATTTGGGGCAAGTATTTCTTCAAGCTATGGATACCTTGCATCCGTAAGCTTCTGGCACAAAACCACATAAGCCATAGAGTAATGGAGCTCATTCAAGGTTATTGTTCGTTATGTAATGAATCATGTAATGGTTATTTCTCTTTTTTATTATGCAATGCGTTTTAATAAATGTTACAATTGTTACCTTTCAAATTTCATTATTTACATATTTGAGTAATGGTTTGAAAATATGTGATGTGTGTAGTGGTGACATGTCTCTGACATTGCCACACCAAATGTGCACATTTTGCTGTCCTTTCTTTTTAAAAATGTGCCCAGACCCTTCTCAGCTAACTTTTTTTAAATTATTAGCTTCTTCTTTTTGCATATGTGTGTAGCTTTTATTGAACTTCAGAGAAAACAAACTGATGATCCTGTTATTGGTATAAAATAAGATCTAAATAAGATGTTTATTGTCGCTCTCTTTATCCAGTCACATATATTTTATTTATATCAAAGCATAAGCCAGTTACTTTTCTGTTCATTTAACTCTAGCCATTTTACAACAGTTAAGATAACTTTCAGCTGTTTGCTGAGAGGGTATATCATTATCTGCATGAGCTGATGCTACCTGCTCTGGTAGATTTTAATGTTTTAGATGTGATTCACTCCCATATGATCATGTTTGTGATTTCTTTCCCTTTTTTCCCTCTTGATTTTCAGTTAAATGATTGGCTGGCCTAATTGTTAATACAAATTTCATTTGAATACACTGAATTTCGCGGTGTACATCGGACTTTTTATTAAAACTATCATCCTCTCTTCTCTACACCATATGATTCCTGCTCAGTATTGTTACAACTACTAATGACAGTTAAAATATAGGAGATAAAAGATTAGGCAATAGTTTTCCACAAAAAATTTATTTTAATTCAAAATATAATAACATTGCAAATTGAAGGAGTTACATTACAGACAAAAATATGCACATCTTATCCAGGGGATTGTATTTACAGTCACTTAAATGATCTTCTTCTTCTGCTTAGTGTTCGAGTGTCTCCAATTCCAGAAGTGACAGATGAAAATATTCGTTGGGTACTGGCAGTGCCAGGTGTCAGTTTTATCATTGCTGAGTCACTATCATCAGAATCATTTCCCCGGGTGGAACTGTCATCAATTGCTTTCAAAGCTTTCAACAATGCCTCTTTGTGGGACGCTTCCATTTCTTCATCTGTGCTTTTACTGTGACTGCACTCTTCTTGTACATTAGGTTCTTTTTTGGGAGGACTCATGGGACGTAAATGTGATAATGGTATACTCTCAATCATAAAACCACCACTGGAATCATCATGATCTAGGAAGCTTTCCAGATTACTTTTCTTTCCTAAAATATTTTCATTTTGGGAATTGGAAAATTTAGACAAGTCAGTCTCTTTGCTATGACTATCACTGTTAGTACTAGATTGCTGGTTACTGTTTAAATGAGCTGAAACTGTAGAGTTCTCTTCAAGTAGGTTTATTTTAACTGGAGATGAATCCCCATCCGGTTTAATTTTAATTTTAGTTGTAGAGGGTTTTGCCTGATGACACTCTCCCTTCAAGGCAAAAGTAGCATTTGCCAAGGTTGCCACATGCTTTGCAGACTTCAAATCAAGAGATGCCAGTGATTTCGAAATGTCCTCCTCAAAATTTGTACCATGTTTTGTTGACAATTCAGAGAGCATAGCAACAGCATCTTCATATTCTCTCTCTAAAACTTCATTGCATACTGTCCCAAATGAGCTGCTGCTTTCTGTCATTCTTTTTGCTCTATGAGCATCAAGATTTATATTGAACTCAGAAATTTCTTTTCTTTTAGCATCTCTATAAAACTGATAAGAACTTGACTTCATATTAATAGGTACAGTTGGACTATTTTCCTTGGTGTCGTTCACAGTATGCTCTGGTGACGAGTCCAAACTTGTAGAAAACTCATTGTTTTTTTCTAAGTAAGTTACCTGGGAGAGGAACATGTTTACACTATAGGCAGGTATATATTAACCAAATACCTCGTCACGATTATCATAACAAGTTATACTCACTGGTCTAGAATCTAGCTCAACTAAGCTTGGAGTATTGATGGAAGATATGAGTAAACCAGTTTCCTTGTTTGTTTTCGTAAATCGAGAATTAGGAGGAGGGTTTCTTTCAACTGAAATTCTCCTAGCAACTTTATGATCTCCTGGAAGTCTGAAAAAAATCCAATCGATGTAATTTTGTATTTTGTGCACAGAAATGCAAAATTTAGTTTCCAATGAGCAAATCATTGAAAGAGCTGCTCAACCACAGTATAATTTCTATTAAATGCATTGACATACGAAGTTCAACTTACTTTATAGCAGATAGAGATTTTCCCACACGATCCATTGAAGATGGTAAACTATTTCTCTCCTTTACCTACGAGGTCAAACTCCATTTTAATAAACAGTTCAGTCATATTCAAGAGCTGCTTACATGTTTCTCACCTGATCTAACTGCATTTGAAGCTGTTCCATTTTTGCAAATGTTTGTTGTAATTCTGATTGAGTCGTTTTATGTTTCTGCATTTCTTGTTGTAATTGAAATTTTAAATTCTTTGTTTCTAGAAGCACTTTTCGGTTGAGCACCTGAAATGGATGTAAAAAGTTTTGCTTACTATACATTTTTATTTTTTTTATTTTTAAAGAGCACAGTCCTAGAAATAAATATGAATGAAAATATATCACATATGTGGCTTACTTGAATTGTACTAGACTGATTTTCAACTGTAACTTTTAGATCATGTACTTGTGTAGTCAAAGCTTCCCGCTCCCCAAGATTTCGGTCTTTTGAGAGTCTCAACAAATGGGCATGCTGTTCCTTTAAATTCTGGAGCTCTATGTCACGTTCTTTAAGTGTGTTTGTTACACTTCTAAGTTGATGTTTCAGCTTGAAAGCATTAACAAAAATGGTCAATTAGAAACATGCTCTACAGAAACCACCAAGTGTACACCCAACTCTAGACTCACTGTTTTGTACTTGGTTCGTAGAACTCGGACTTCCTCTTGATGTGACCTTACAAGTTGGGGAAGCTGAGCCTGTGTACCCTCATATCTGTCAAGAGCCAAATCTTGCCGCTTTTGCAGAGATCGAAGAAGTCTATTCTCTGTACAGAGCTCCTAAAATCAGAAACAAGGGAAACTATGTACACAAAATAAATTTTGTGCTAAGTAGGAAACTCGTTCTTTAACCAAACCAGGGTAGTTCTTCAAAATCAGTTCGTGCTTTTATCTCAGAGTAATGGGGGAGAAGTGTGTGACGATAAAAGGTACATTTTAAACGCCCGCGCGCTCACTGTGAAGTAGTTACTATGTCCGTCCACAGGTGGCAGCATGGATGGCGCCGCCATAACCTCACGTACTCCTCCACCGTCACGGGACTTGCAATTTTTTAGGAGGAATCTATTAAGTAAACTCGTTAAAATGCTTCGATAGCGACTCAAAACATATTAATAAAACAGTTTCATTAACATCTCAGAAGTTCAAAGATGCATGCATGATACATTTTCGTTGCTTAACACTACGTTTTTCAACATGCTCAAATAAGCTCTGGTCTGGGACTTAGAATGAAAACACGCAAAATTTGTTAAGAGTGCTCAAAATTATGCTATTAAACCTGAAAAAAGGTTCGTTGCTTTAATTGAGACCAGCGTCCCCGCTCTACAGTGGTACTATTGTCATGTCTGTAGGTGTTGTGTGTTCTGAGATGAAAACAGGAACAGGAAAAGCGTGACACCGCACTGAGAACAATGCTCGTTCTTCCTACCACCACGAAGGTGAAGTGGGATGGTAAAGAACGAGTAAAAAAACTATGACTTTTAAGAAGAATGCTTTTCTTCCTGCAAGCCTATAAGAGCAAATTTTAATTACATTGAGATGAAGATGCGCCTCTGATAACTGATTCTGTAATTGCTTCAGTCTAAGCAACTTTGCTGACATGACTCTCTGGGTGAATGAGCTCAAATTATCTTTCGATGCTATGTTCAAATCTAAGCGAGTGCAGTTAGGATGAGATGACTGATAAGGATGATGATCAAGACCTGAAATGTGAAAGGAATTAGCAATCTGAGGAAAGGCAACACAGTTCACAAATTTCAGAGCATAATTTCAGTGCAAAACTAAGCATTACATAGCTTTGGGATCTGGTGAGTCTAGAGCAAGATGGGGACTAACAGCATACTTTGGGAAAACCACGTGTAAAACTTGCTCAGAACATTTTATAAGAAATCCTCAGGAAGGACCTGAGAAAAGTGTGAAATGCTTTTTTAATCCTTTTATTTTAATAAGGAAAAAGTTAGCATACCCTTAGTGTGCAGTGCCAAACAGCAAAGAGCATAAGCGAAGTAAAATGAAAGATTTTGCCTCTCTTTTTACCTTTGATAATGAATAAAAAAAATTAACTCTCAAATAAAAATTTGATAAGCACCCCCTGGAATTATTCTAGGTTGTGAAGCTGAAAGCTGATTTACCAGTATTGTGTGAATGTGTACTATTGCTATGCATAATTAGTGTCGGGAAAGGTGAACTGGAAGAGATTAACAATATTCATAACTTGAGCCAGAGCAGTGGGGGAATTCCCTTTCAGAGTGGTACTGCCCATTATGTGGCTCACTCTTAACTGGGAATAATATTTGATAAAGTGCTCATGAAGTAATTGTGTGTGCAAAGGAAACTGAATGTCAAACCAGAATGGCCCTGAAGTCGTTTCTTGCATAGAACAGAACCAGTGGCAACAGCACTTAAACTTTTCTTCTGCCGAGCAGATTTGTTAGAGAACTGTTTAATTGGTGCTATCAATTCTGCTCCTTGCTCTAGTGTCAATAATTTATCAGATGGTTGCAAAGGAGACTTTGTACCTCCACTTTCTATTTTCAAGGCAATGAAATGACAAACAGAACAGTTAAGGAGGATAGATTATAAGGGAGACACTTTTTAGAGGAGATCAAGCAACCAGTTCGACATAAAAATATGGAAATTTAAATCATTTAAAGTGCAGAATAGATTTACCTGCGGCTGTTCGCTGCATATTCCTACGTATTTTATGCGACGCTAAGCAAATATAAGACGAATTATGTGAAATATCCTCTGTCCAATTGGGCTAGCAGAAAATTCTGATGATTGTTGTTGATTGTTGTGTTCGTCGTTTGGTGTTAACAGTTTGGGCCAGCTGCGTCAGCTGGCGCAGCTGCTCGAGTAGCAGAACATTTTAGTCAAAGGCGGAGGGGGTGCACCATACTCCGATATGAATGGATCACCATACCCACACAAGGCTGGAACCTCCACAAAATAAATCATCACAACTGCTAGAAGTGCGAAATGAGTTGCCTGTGCATTGTTTTGTAACTGTTATTATCAGACCCTTAATCCAGCCACAAAATCTCTATCGGGTGCCGTTCGTCTTTCTACTGTTTTTCCAATTGGAGATGAGATATGAAAGCGTTAGGTCGCTGTGTGACGGTTCCAGTAGACTGCGCCACCGCGCGTGCGCTGCCCC